CAGCTGAACTAAACTGAGGAGCAGAGAAGGATGCAGGGATGAGAGAACAAGAAAGGGGAAAGGGAGATGTTCTCCTTTGTCTGTGCTGAGGGACACCTCTCCTGTGGGTCCCCTGGCACATGAATGGCAAGCCAGTGTAAAGGATTTGGAAAGAGACAATGGGAATGATGATGTCCAGCTGATTTCTTTATCATAGGATTTGTTAAACACTTAAAATCCTGTAGAGCAGGGGTTCTCAGTGGGCCCCAGACCTAAAGCAGCATCAGCAGCACTCGGGAGCTCGTTAGAAATGCAGATCCCCAGGCCTCACTCCGACCTCCGTCTCTGGGGGGTAGGTCCCACAATCCAGATTTTAACAAGCCCCCCAGGGGATTGTGATGCAAGCTACAGTCCAAGCACCACTGCTGGAGAGTTTGTGATGTTCTTCCAATTTGACTATGGAACAAATTTTTAGAGAAACACTATTTTATGCTTTATGTTAATTCTTGATCTTATTTTGTGACCCTTCTGATTACACTGGGCCCACCTAGATGGGCTCAGCTGTGACCATCTCAGGATTTTCTTGCTCTGTTCTTGACAAATAGTCCCATCGCTCAAGGCATTGAGTGCCATGGCCGACGTGGGAGAAGATGGGCTGCGGAGTCGCTAGAGAGATATGTGGCCTGTGTGGGCAGGACTTGGGATATGGGGTACAGGGGAGGCCTTCACTCAGGCCCAGGGACTTCTGGCAACTTCTGGAGAAGGGGCCTTTCACCCAAGACGTGGTAAAGGAGGAAGGGTGGTTGAGGTGAAGCGAATAGCCCGGACAAAGACAACAGGGTGTGAAGACGCCCCACAAACTGATTCTGGATCCATAGGCTGGAGCACCCTGTGCATATGGGAGAGAAGGCTGGAGGGTGGCGGGTTCATTTTGATGTGTCTCCTCTGCTGGGCAGACACACCTGGCTGTCACCTGTGACTGGGACAATCACGACCGGTTTTAGGTAGGGGTGTGCAAGAATTATATTTATCTTTTAGATGGAGCCTCCAATAAATTATATGTGCACCCAAGAATGAGCCCTCCATCCGGCCTGTGAGATGGAGCTGGGGAAGCAGGTGTAAGGTGCTCCTGACTGCACCCGGCAGAGCGGCAGAGCCAGGAGAGGAGGACAAGCTCCCTGAGACCTCAGCAATGGACTTGACCCCACATGCAATGGAGTGATGGGTGAGGCCCAGGGAGGCATCTAGGCCAGTGGTTTCTACCCTGGCTGCACACGGGAATCCCCAGCAGCTTAAAAAGCACATGTGCCTGGACCTCACAGACCCTCTCTTCATCCACCCATTCACCGTCCACCCACAGTCCATCCATCCATCCGTCTGTCTGTCCATCCATACCTCCATTCCCTCCACCATTACTAAAGCCCGGTGACAATATTCCCCAGGGCAGTATCATTTCCTCTGACCTCACTGCCTCTCCATCCTTACCATTCTTGCTCCAAATTGCCCCTTTCACAAAGGCCTTTTGTCCTCCTTGCCCCGTCCTGGCCTGGGGTCTACCCTACTAAAGCCACATGGCTTCACTTAGCAAAGCCAAGCCTGAGAGACATTTAATTGCTGAGATATTTCTAGGGAGCCAGATGTTGGGTACTGCTGCATTACTAATCCAGATGTTTGGTTTTAATTTTTCTCTCTAGTTGATCCTGATTGTAGAAGAGGAAAAATTCCCCAGGTTTGGACCCGTATGGATTTGGATTCAAATCTAGGTTTTGCCAATTTATGCCTAAATGACTTTAGGCAAATTCTTTGAGCTTGACCCCTGGAGCCTCAGTTTCCTTACCTAGAAATGGCCAATAATAATAATATCTACCTC